TGAGGGTCAGATGGACAGATTGTGTGTTTGGGGAACAGAGGTTTGGGAGGATTGTCAACAAATGAAGAAAGGCGTCGTGAAATGGAGGACAGTTTGGGGAAGAAAGAAAAAAGCAAAGAGAGGAGGAAGGGAGCTGAACGCTTCTCAGTGTAAGAATGTGCGTATGGTGTTCTGTGCGTCACACTGCGTGTTTTCATGTGATGTGCCTGACTGTGTGCTTAGTATTTTGATTTTCTTTGTGTGACACTTTGTTTTCCCGCTCTTCTAATGTTTGGCACTGTGCTTAAATGGCGCACTCGCTCTCTATTCCCTATGCCAGCTTCACTGTTTGGTAAAATATCAAAATAAGGGCACTTCATGGGGAATAGCGAGTCGTCTTGGGACGCACCCTTTGTGTGAAGGGGATTCACTGATGTACAATGAGCTTTTGCTTTGTTCTGGTCCATCCTAGAGGGCTGACAAAATCAGTGATTGTTAATTGATTCTGTTGATTTTATTGACATAGTTTTAGAACAAGATTTTGTGGCCCTCAACGACTGGAACTTTTATTCAGCTTTGTGTGCGTTTGTTTTTGTGAGTGTGATTCCAAGAGTCTTGCATTTGTGTGTTTTGTTTTTGAACGCATGTTACGATGGGCTTTGCTATGAGTACACTTGGGTTTTTGGTTTGTTTCGTTTCTTTTTACATTGGTATTTAGGAGACTTTATGAAAATAATGTTCCATGGACATCACTCCAAAACAAGCAAAAAGAAAAAAATGTGCGTTTGGCTTCTTTAGCTTCGGCTCTCTCAGTTGCGCGGTCTGAAACGGCTGGCATCTGCGAAAGCCTCTAGCAGTGTGTAGCTTTTAATGCGTTTGTGTTAAGGCGATGTGACGTGTGACGCGATACTGATTTATCTGTCCTCCATTTTCCTATTCCCCTCTCTTTCTGTCTTTCTCTTTTCTTCCCTACAGTGCTGAGCTTCTGAGCTTCCCCTTTTCTAAAGCTCCCCAACCGCAAAACCTGTCCGGAGGCAACCCCCAGGGTCACCACAGGATTAGAGATGGCGAAAGAGAGAAAACGAGAGATGAAAGGAGTGCTTCGCTAAACCAACTGGAAGAAAACATTGTAACACTCATCTCTCCATTGCTAACCCCCAACATAGGTGCAATAAACTGACAATATCACGTCCTGGGAGGACGTGGAACACATTCTTCCTACAGGGATCGCTGGCCTTGGAAAACGGGTAGGATTCAGCATACAAACTGTTGTATGTCCTGGCTCAACCCTCCTGATGGAAATGGATGCAATTTTAAAGTGATGAGAACTATTTTTGTGGGGCGTTCCACCATAATAAATGCACCTGAAAGTGGACAAAAACCCTCAATACAGTCTCAGATACACGCAATGTGTGGAAAAACACCCATCATGCCCTTCAACGCTATGCAATTCAACCACACGTTGACAGTCAAGTTCATGCAACGTTTCAATCAAATGGTTTATCACCCAAACTTTTTCCGCTTCTTTAACTTTTGGAGATCTTGCACGTGCTTTAAATGAAAATAGACAGTGGCGTCAATGACCCGCCATATTCCTATATCGTACTGTTTCCCCATTCATTCAATTGGAAATCTTGTTCAGAGTGTCCTTCTCAGGGCTCACAGAAAGGCGACTTTGTCAACTATGAAGACAAGAGCGTTAGCCTCTCTCTTTTCTCTCTCTCTTAGTTTAGTTCTCTGCATCTCAGCATTTCTGTTCCACTGTAGATGAACTGCATGGCATGAATGGAAAAAAAACAAAAAAACAGAGAGAAAGATGGTAGAGATCATGCTGAGAGGAACAAGAGGAAACCGTAGACAGGACCACTCTGTTTGCACAGTACAATATGGGTGACTCTGGATCAGTGGATGGAGTCACTTTTTTCACCTTCATGTGGGGAACAGAAAATACAACATAAGTGCATGATACTAAGGACAGAGGGGTTTTTAAGTGGACTGGGTGAACTTTAAACAAAAGCTGAAAAAAAGAGAAAATTAAAAATGCATTTTTCTCACTTTGTTTACCAGCATGACTAAACTGCATGACTTCTGCAAGCCCTGAACCCCAAATTAGAGGGCTTGAAATCACTAAACACCGAAATCAAATGGAAACAATAAAAGTTTATGCTAAATGCTACTAAATTTAGAAAAAAAAGAATATATATATATATATATATATATATATATATAAAAGAGAGGCTCTATATTTTGTTCATTAGGAATTGGGGGACATGTTCATCTCATCCCTAATTAGAAATCCAGTGTGCCTGAAACTGTTCCCTGGATGTTCCCAATTGAAGATGCTCTCTCTGCGAATGCTTGTCTTAGCGTGAATGAGACCGCAACCCCTCCAGATGGCTGACAGCTCAACATACCTTTACTTGAAACCCAAATACAAAACATATCAGAGAGGAGCAGAACAAAGCCAGAATCAGTCTTCATGCTTTCTCAACTTCCTGTTTGCATCCCCTCCCCCCTCTCGTCTGTTCCCTCTCCTTCTATATTTTTGAGGAAGAAGCTTTTTTGCATCCCTTGTTCTTGTGTTTTTCTATCATATTGTTTGAAGTTGAATTATAATGCATGCATGGAATACAATGAGGACGTAACTTGTGAATAATTTGTGAATGGCCAGAATGAGGTGACCATCTCTTTCACCTGGGCTCTCTACTCTGCGACTTCTCTTTCTGAGACAATTAGAGAGGAAGAAAGAGCATATATTGTTTCTGGTTTCTCTCACATCCCTTTCTCTTCAAAATGTAGCCATGCCAAATATAAGTTGCTTTTAGTTGCTATACTATATTTATTATAGTATAGTCTGACCCAATATGCACTACCTGTACTTTTCTACTTTAGTTACTTTATGTAGCTTGTTTGAAGGGGGAATTCATTGCACTATCACAGCTAATGGAGCGGCTGTGTATACTGCTGAGCGTAAGCCTAACCATACCCCCCAAGTTAAGAAACAGGGACAGAGAGAAAGAGAGGCCAGTGAGAAAGAGAAGGTTCCTAAAAGAAATGGATGAGTTCTATGCTACTAAGGTTGATGCTGGATACAATTTTATTGTCATACAAAAAAGGGAAAAAAAATATCAAGAACTGTATAAAATATATTTCAATGGAATGTTTATTATTTACCTTTTATATTTTTGAAATGTATAAAGAAAAAAACTAATAAACTGTAATAATTTAACAGTTTGTGAAAACTGAGGCTTAAAAATCATTATATTATTAAAAGTATGGAAGTTTGAATGTGAATGCTAACCTACCTGATCAAATCTTCTCCATTACAGATAGGAAAAAAATTATAATAACAATTAGAAAAATGAAATCCAATTTAAAAACAAAAAGTTATCAAAAAGTCAATAAAAATGTTAAAAGCTCATGCCAAAATTTTCAACACGTGTCCTGTGTGATTCTTTAAATGTTTGTTGTGATTTTTTCATGTTACTCTGGGATCCAGTTACTTTTCTGTTTTTGCTCATTTTTTAAATGTTAGCATTTCATGATAAATGTAATTCCGTTACATGCTAATTAAACATCAAAATAATTTTTAATAATGATTTTCCTTTACATGTACCTTCATGGGTTTGTGGGAAGGACTTTATTTAATGCAGGCTTTTTGCATTGGTTTTTCATAATCTACATTATTGGAAAAGTAGTAACAATTACATTTCAAATGTAACAATATAATTTTTTTAACACATTTATAGTACATAGTTATTAAGTCTGTAGTTGCAGGGTTATTTATACATTTCTAATATAAATTTTATAGACGAGGTAGAGATTACAATAACAGTGGGCATAGACAAAGTCTTGGCACAGCACCTATAACATTTCAAGTCTTGCTAGTTATTGCTATACTTCCCATTTTGGATTCATTTTATCCCTCCTCACTCACATGGACTGAGACAGGCAAACAAAAAATTTTTTTTTAAATCACAGTCTGTAATTCCTATCGGATCTACACTATACATTATAATATATTACACTTTATTACTGTGCATGATATTGCCAAGCAGCCTTCTCTTACTTGGTCAGATCATCATTATTTTTGGTCCGTTGCATATGTAAATCCCAGCATTCCCCCTTTTCTCACTTCATCAGTCCTTCACTGACCCTCCTCAGGCACATCTGTTCAGTCTCCAGACAATGAGGCCACCCAGCAGTACTCCACTGATGAAGAGGACTCCAGAGGAGAGGGAGATCAGGCTGGATGAGGAACCAAAATCTCGCTCAAAGGAGTAATGAGCCAAGGAAGAGATACTGTTGATCTGCAGGTATTTAAAAGAGTGACTATTACTGATGTATTTTCAATGCTATGCTGTGCTAGTACAAATATTCTCATGTTTATCAAATCATACCCATCCTCCTCTATTGCAGATCCAGTTCAGAAGGTTATCCCTGAAGTAATCCAGTGTCCAAGACACAACGCCTGAGACTAAATCAGCAAGAATCTATCAATGCAAAACAAAAAACAAGCACAGATGCATTAAAGTCCAACCTCAGAGCATTAACACTTTGGTTTGGGCACTGAAACTCTACAAATGTATGTTGGCATAACAAATTAATTGTGAAATTTATAGGAAGTGAGCTGGATTGAATGTATCCTTCATCATTTAAATTTGTACTGTATTTATGACTCCTATATAGAAACACACAAACAAATGAGACTAGGAAAAATAAAGAGAGCACTGCATACCTTTGCAATGGATTTCCCAACAACACAGATCAGAGTAACAATTTTCCCCCAGGTGATGTCATCAACAAAAACTTTGTCTACAAGCTTCTGGAAACTCTGTCTATCTGCCACACGTGCAAACCCATCAACCATGCTGAATTCAAACACATCTTTTAATAAAACAGATTTGCTCTTTCATTATACTGGAAGCTTGTATTGCAACTTTGTGTTGCAATTTCAATTTTATTTCATTTCTCATGATCAACATTTAGTTGTGACTTTTTATCTCAAAATTGCCAACCTTTCTCATAATTGCAAATTAAACAAAATATGATATTTTGAAGAATGGTCAGGGGGGGGGGCTGCTTTGAAAAACAAAATGTTTCTGAAAGTAATTTTCAGATGCAACGGGGGAAAAAACGGGATAAACACAAACATGAAACTTGTAAATAAAATAATCTGATATATAGCCTATGTACCATTTAAAAACATATAACCTAGTTTGATATATGAATTGGGTGTTCATCAAAGATTGCATGCGGTCGGAGATTCCCGTGTTTACAGCTCCGTAAAATAACCTACTGGAAGCTCTGTAATTTTGCTGTATAGGCCTATAGATAAAAATATTAAAATTACAAACACACAATAACATTTTAAGTTACTTCCATTTCTAGTAATTGATGTTATAAATACACATGCCTGATTTTTGTTTTAATTATCCATCGTACATAAAAAACAAAACAAAAAAACATTTGCAATCAAGACTGAAAAAAGCCAGAAGTGAAAGTAAACCAGATTTGGCCCAGACTCTGTTGCTATCTGTGAAGCCAAGCATAAGAATAGCCTACTAATGTAAATGTGTTAACCCACAGTAACAAATTTTAACAGATTAATCGCATATTTTCGTTTGCTGCATGCTTTTAAAAACACAATAAAAAAAATTAAAAAAATTTTTTTTTGAGGAAAATAAAAAAAAAGATACGTCTCGTATAAGTTGCATTTTCAGAAATAATAACGGCAGGCCTAATAATGTTATAATGTACCAACATTATGAACACTATAGGATATTTTAGTTCCCCTCACTTTACAACAATTTAACCGTATCAGAACAGAATAAGAATTTAAAAATATATAATTCTAATGGATAAATATAATTGCAGTATATAATAATATATGCTTAGCAATAAACATGCCAAAACAAAAAAAAAAAAAACATTTGCAATCAAGACTGAAAAAAGCCAGAAGTGAATGTAAACCAGATTTGGCCCAGACTCTGTTGCTATCTATGAAGCCAAGCATAAGAATAGCCTACTAATGTAAATTTGTTAACCCACAGTAACAAAATTTAACAGATTAATCGCATATTTTCGTTTGCTGCATGCTTTTAAAAACACAATTAAAAAAAATATATATTTTTTTTTTTGTTGAGGAAAATAAAAAAAAAGATACGCCTCGTATAAGTTGCATTTTCAGAAATAATAACGGCAGGCCTAATAATGTTATAATGTACCAACATTATGAACACTATAGGATATTTTAGTTCCCCTCACTTTACAACAAATCCTTTAAATTTAACCGTATCAGAACAGAATAAGAATTTAAAAATATATAATTCTAATGGATAAATATAATTGCAGTATATAATAAAATATGCTTAGCAATAAACATGCCAAAACAAATTAATTTATAAAGAAACGTAAGGTAAAGTTGGGCTTACCTCTCTCAGGCACAAATCCAAATGTGTCCATATTCCCGATGTAGCTGAAGCTAAACTATTAGCCTTATTAGGAAAAATAGGCTTTTTAGTTAACGCGCGTTCCAGTATCGACGGAAAAATATCATAATGAGCAAAAATATGACACAGTGGACCGGGTCTCACGCGGAACGGCACGGTGAACGGCTGCGCTGTTTCCAATGAACGCAGCAGCTTAGTGTGCGCGTGAGGCGCTGGCGCGATCAAACAGCTGAAACATCAAATAGACTACTCCGTCATTTTTGGTCATACAGTAAAGGCATAATTCGAAACTGCAAAGTGCAAAGTGTTACCAGTTTGAAAATTCAAGAATAATAGCAAAGTTAATAAGAATTCTTTCTAAATGCAGCACCATTCTTATTTCGCTCTGCATAACCTGAACGAAAAAAAAAAATGTTTTTGCTAAGAAGGAACCGAAATGAAAACATTTCGCTTTTAATCTGTGTATTTAACAGCCTGGGAGACCTTCTCAGGGCAGTACCTTGCCTCACCGACTAAAATCAGGGCGCCCACTACGGAGACGGCACCAGAGGTGAGGGGGCACAGTGACCGAGGTGGCCGGGCCGGGCCCCCTCAGGCCCCCCCGTGGCGCCGACGCTGAGAATGGTGGTAACTAAACAAGAATTGACGTTAGCAATTCTAGACTTCCATTGTATGGAGGAAAAAAACGATCTAATGGAGGGTGAGTAAATGATGGAATTTTCGTTTTCATGGACTAATTTTAATTTTTGGGTGAACTATCCCTTTAAACTATCAAACATTAACTTTAACATTAATATAAAGTAATGTTTTTACTCAGAGACAGAAACGGACTTCCATAATTATTACACAGTAATATTCTCGCATACCAAAAAAGACATTTCAATACTAACTCATTGAATTTTGGCTCTCGATCGAGACTGTCGCCGAAGTCTCTGATGAGGCTAGCCATCTGTTCCAGGAGCTGCTCCCGCTCATCACTCATTGGCTGCGGCTCAGGAAGAGACGGTGCGCATGTTCCCGCCCTCTGGTCCTTCACTGATCTGAGAACATTATTTGAATTATGAAAAAAAGAAACTATTGGTAATAATGTACTGACACTTTAGTGCTACCCTCTGTTGGATTTTATGTTTGGTTATTTGGGTATTATTTTTTTTTAATATTATAAAAATTATTTATTAGTATTTATTAAGTTATAAGCATGGCTTAAATATGTAGTGTGTGAAACTTACCGAAGTACAATATTCGTTGAAAACTGGTCATCTAAATGTTGCATACAAAAGTAAAATGTTAGTTACTACAGGCTACTGAGCTCACGTTAAGAAATATAAATAAAAAAAAGCCTGTTTCGTAAAGTCTGAATACCTGACATGGCAGGCATGATCTTCCTCTTTGGTCCTACGAAAGGATTTGATGGCCACTTCACAAACCGCAGTGAAACTGTCTTTACGTGTGACCTATACATTCACGTTAATGTATAAACATTTCGCAAACCTCTAACTGGTTTAGTAGGCTTTAGTAGTCTTGGTGTCTAAATCAGATATATTGTTAAACAATTGTCAGTTCCGCATCTTCACTGCTAGCGTTGCACTAGGCTAAATGAAAATAAAAGCGAAACAAAAAAAGCGGTTTTACGTGACTGCATAATTTCCTTTCATGTCTCCATCCAAAACAAATCTATATTTAGCAGCCATCCTCAAACTATAATGTAGCTCAGAAGAAAATGTCTCTCTCTGTACATAGGCCTATATATATTACTATTTTGTTTGTTTGTTTTATATATATATAACAAACAAAAACATACATTTTCAGAAATTATGGGGACTTTAATCACATTCAGTGCACAATACTTAAATGTACAAGGAAGAGGACAAGCCAGATTATACAAAACTACTAATGTGTGTCATATGATAATTATCAATAAAAAGCTTAGGCTCAGTTTTATCCCTACAATCGGTCCTGATCCTGAATAAACATACCTTTCTTTAAATCAATTAACATTACCATATTAAATGTTTTCTTACAAAACAGTAAGTATTTCTTACAAATACATATATATATATATATATATATAAAAGGCATATTACAATAAAAAAGGGGCAAATTACAAAATACAGATAGAAGCTACATGGTTTCTCTCAAGTTCAGTGTTATGGACACTTCTGTTGCAGCATCTTCATTTTCTTTCTCTTAGCTACTTCTTGGAAATTTCAAGACGATGAAGCCACCTAGCAGTAGGCCACCAGTGAAGGCCAATGTGGCTCCGAAATAGGAAGAATATTTACTAAGTGAAGAACCAGAAAATTGCTCAAAGGAGAAACAGGCCAGCGCAGGGATACTGTGCATCTGTATTAAGGGGTACAAACAAAGCAGATGTCATAGATATGACATTGTGATCAATACTGCTCAACACATCTTCTAACAAGATTAGAACCAGAAAACAAAAGTCAAATGCTTTTTCATGTAAAAATGTGTCTTCGTTGTTTCTTACCCATCCTCCCATTTTGCGAATCCATTCCAACAGATTCCTCCTGAAGTAATCCAGACTTAAGATCAAAATATCTGAAACAATTGTGGGTAAGCGTGCAAGGACCATCTATTGAGAGGAAAGAGATATATATGTGCAGATATAAACATAAAGATGCATGTCTACAAACAACAAATATATTAACATAAAATTTAAAAAGACAACAGAGACATGTAGGATCTAACTAATCCAATACCTTTGCAGACAGTTTTCCAACTGAATAGAACAGCACTATAATTCTCCCCCAGTTGATCTGGCCATCTGTGAAAACCTTTTCCACAAGTTCCCAGAAACTTCTTTTATCAGCCACTTTTACTAAGCCATCAATCATGCTGTGAGGTCAGAAAAACAGAAAGTGAAACCTGGTGTTTTAAAAGCAGTACAGACAGCAGCACTGATGTTCAGTAAAGACAGACAAAGATTCAGATCTCAGACTGACTCATTGAATGATTTATCCTGATCGAGCCTATCACCGATCACTTTGATGGTCTCCGCCAACTGTTCAACAAGCTTTTGGTCCTGGCAGTTGCTTATTGGTCGAGCTTTAGGAAGGGCTGGTGGGGCTGCATGCACTTCGGCTGCTACCCTCGTCACCTCATGTCTTACCACCCTGAAAGACATTTTATTTGTTAACTGCATATGAATAAAATGTTTATGCCATCACAGATTCACAATTACACATTATATCAGTTAATGAAATTACAGTATTTAACTGTAAATTTAAGTTAAAACCGTAAAACCTAAAACGTTGCTACCGTATTTTTTACGGTAAAATTCCGGCAACCACAGCTGCCGGTTTTTTACCGTAAATTTTACGGAATTTTTTTTACAGTGTAGTCCTGGCTTAAGCTAAGCCCCATTTGTGAAACCGGGCCATAATTTCATTACAACTTT